TGAAGATGAGCAGAGCTGTACATATGCAGATGTGAAGATGAGCAGAGATGTACATATGCAGATGTGAAGATGAGCAGAGATGTAGAGATGTGCAAATGTAGAAGATGTGCAGAGATGTAGATGTGCAGATGTGAAGATGAGCAGAGATGTAGAGATGCAGATGTGAAGATGAGCTGAGATGTAGATGTGCAGATGTGAAGATGTGATGATGTAGATGAGACGTAGTTCTACCAAGCTCAAGACCCGAAGTGCGCATCTGCGGATGAGTGGATAAATTGTTTTGATTACAATCACGGACCATAAGGAAGTGAACTTTAAGCATTCGAGCAGGTACGGGTAGCTGATCAGGCTGCATACCCCGGGGTCAACATAGAGAGCTTTGTTGGGCACAGCTCTATGGGCCTCCTGTGCCTGACTCCAAGGGTTTCGCGCGCGCACGCAGTGGGGGACTTTCAAAGCACATGTGCGTGCAAATGAAGACAAATGAATCGACGTGAAGGAAGGACGCGAAAAGGGCGCGCAACGCATGTGACCGAAATGAAACGGGACAACCGATGAGTCACGCCTCATCGGGGCAGCTGAAACCTAGTTTCAGTGTAAGTAAGCGGGCAGGAGCAAAAGAAATGAGTCAAGACTTGAAGAAGAAAGAGACATGAAAAAGAAGGAGGAACCTCATTAGAAAAATCCTGGGTGACCTAGCCTGATTAAGTGTGTAAGGCGTGCTGTACGCGTTAGGTTATTGAGGGCTGACGGAGTTCACATGAACGCCCGCTTAAATCTACGTGGCTCCTCTCCCTCGCTGTGGGCGTCTTCCGGCAGAAAAACCTGCTCCTGTCAATGCCAAGTCGTCAGGTCTTAACCAACCTTTGCCTGCGAAGCGTGGGCTCTTTTGGGGCACTACTCGTTGCTGAACGCAACAATTTCACCGCCCAGTTCCACTGGGGCCACGTAGGGCACTACTTCGGGCTCACTCCGGGTTCTCGCGAGGAGAGACACACTTGGGATAAAGCACGCACAGTCCGAATGCCACATGCCACACGAAGCCTACGCAAAAATTAAGTAATACACCAGGTAGTATGCAAGACTTCAGAAACAAATTCTAGAATCAAGTTCCACGAAGCGGAGCCATCGAAGAGCACTTGGTTGCTGTGCAACCGATGCAAAAACCAATTTTTTTGTATTTTTTGTAGTTAAAACCAGGGCCCATGAGGACCTGAAAGTAGGACAGCGGTTCTTGGCTTAGCCGCATGCCAAGCCCAGGCGCCCCTGTATCACCACGAAGCCGTTGGTCTGTTGTTGTTAGCCGAGGAACATTTCAAGGGCAACCGAAAGGTTTACTTCGATGAAGGTTTATTATGGTTTTTGGATAACAGGAATCGACCCTGTTCACTGTGGTGTTTTTGTGTGTCAGTGAGTGGGCAGAGCAGCGTGCGTCACCAACCAAGTTCCGTGACGGCCTTTGAGGCACGATGCCACACTTGCTGCTCTGATTCCTTCCTGACTCCCGCTGGTGCAGGCTTCGCTTGCACACTTGACTCTTTATGTGTTTTTTTCTATGGTGCTTTACAAAACATCAACTTGAAAAATCAGCAAACAAAACATAAACTTTTGCGGAAACGGCTGTGCTCTCTGATGTTTTGCTAGGTCAGGTTGAGGATGTTGAGCGCCAACTTTCTCAGCCGTTGCTCAGCAGCAAGTTAGGATCTAAAGGTTTGACACAGCAGCGTGGCAGATTAGTTTGCATGTGTGAACATTTTCTTTTGTTGATGTTTTAGTTAAACACGAAGAACATGTTGCGGCAAGAGCAACCTGTCGCATCAGGCTTTACTATAGCTTCCAGCCTCAGAATACATTGAGGTTGGACTGCGTAAACATTGGACTCATTGACTGGTGGACCCCACCACCATGAACTGTGAATAAGCAGCAGCAGCGTTCTATCAAACATGGCCCTGAATGGCAGGACACACCATGAAAGGCTTGACTACATTGAGGCAGCATTGAGGTTTGCCTTTAGATCTATTGAATTAGCATTTCAGCCTTCCAGGCAGAATACGATTTTGGAATTGTGGCAGATCTGGATTTGAACTCTCGTGATCCAAAGGAGTTCATTTGGTGCCCAGGCTGCATAACAGCTCAAAACAGGACATGATGATGGTCGACTTGGGAAGATGATTGAACATCTCATGAGTGGTTTGTGAGACGGAAAATAGATTCCTGTGGTTTGGGCCCCATCGTGCCCCATTCTGCAGGCGTTCCTATTTGAAGAATCTTGATTGCCAATGGAGATCTGCGGATGAGTGTATTGCACGCACTGCGAGCGCTTCCTTGAAGAAATGTGAGCTATCCTGCGTCCAGTAACTAGTAGCTTACCGAGCCAGGCCCTTACTTAATCAAGTAGCTGCCTACTAAATTAAGAGCGGGCCGAGCGGGCTAAAGGGAATGGCCGGCCGACTCCTCACAAAGTCCGACTCGAACTCC